CCGCGGGGTGGGCAGTGGGGGGCGGGGGCGAGCCGGGGCGCGGGGAGAAGGGCGGCAGGGACCTGTCGGAGCCTTTGTCTGCGGTGCGCGCGGCCCCACTGGCGCCTCCTCTCCCTCCGCGCCGGCTCCGGCGCTGAGTCTCCGTACTCCACCCGCTGTCCTGGGAAGAAAAGGATCCCCAAACCCGGTCCAGCATCTGGAGCGAGCCAGCCCGTCCCTCCGTACCCCGGCTGCTAGAGCAAGACCCAGACCCAGAACGGGGGAGAGGTGCCGCTGGCCCTGGCGGTGTTGGGTCTTGGCGCCACCTCCTCGCGCGGGCACACCCCAAGGTTTCTCCCACCTGAAGTTCCTCCCTGGACCCCCCTCCGCCCCATCTCACCCCTTGCTAGCCTCCTCCTGGTGCTTGGAAAAGCTGCTGGAAGAGGCGCGGCTTGGGCCCAGGGGTCACCTCGTGCTTGCCCAGGGGGCTGTCCTTTGCCGGGGAAAGGCGGTTAGCCGAGACCTAACTTTGCTGCTGCTCGGTCTGGGCCGGCGGAAGGAGCCGCTGGGGTCTGCGAGCGTCTGGAAGACCGGCAGAAATGGAGGGGTGGGTGACAGGGGGGAGGGCAGTGGGCCTGCTGCCCCACGGGAGCCTGCTCGGCATCGCCATCACCAGGCCCTGCCCAGCCTGTGGCGCGTGCATTCATCTGTCCTCTGGGGGCTCTGAGAAGGGGTGACTGGAGGGTTTGAAACCCACAATCCTACCGACAGGAGTTGGGGCAGCCTAGCATACTTGGCTGTGAACAAAGCAGCAGCGACATCATTGCACCCGCCTACGCACAGGGGACCAGGGGGCACTCGGGGGCATCCAAGGGCATTCAGCTAACCAGGATTTGTGGCTGAGCCAGAAGGGCCAGTCCCCACGGAGGGAGCAGGCTGACTTCCCCTGGGGACCAGCATCTCCCTTGTCCCCTCCAGCTGGCTAGAGGTGCAGCACAGCATTGAACAGGTCCAGCCCCACCTTGGGGTCCCCCCAGGACCCCCCACTGCTCTGGGGACACATTCAGAGCCATGTGCACTTAAGTCTCAGCTGGAATGGGACAAGCCAAAGGTGGTTACCTGGGCCAGTCTCCAGCGTGAGCTTTGTGACCCAGCCTTGGCCTTTCTGTGGCTCAGTCACCCTTTCTGCAAAATGGGGGCAGAGACCCCGATTTGCAGACGGTTGAGGGTAGAAAGCTCCCTCCAGCCCTCAGTAGTGCTTTCTGAGTGGCGGCTTGTGCGACTATTGCACTTACGTGTGCAGCCGAGCCTTGCCACCACCCAGCCCCTCCCGTCAGTGAAGCTGGGGTTTGCGAAGCGCTCTCACTCTTCCTCTCCTGAGGCCCAGAACAGTGAAGTGGGTAAAGTGAGGTCCAAAGGGGTGGGCTGGAGTGGAAGAAGTGATGTGTCTTCCCAGCTGCTTCCCAGGCGGGCTGCGAGGGGTTCTGGCTGCTCAGACAGCAGAGAAGAGCCCTGCAAATGCCCTCTCTGCACCTGTCTTTACATTAGACAGCAGAGAAGAGCCCTGCAAATGCCCTCTGCACCTGTCTTTTCATTTTAAAGGGGAACATGGGAGGAGGGGGAGGGTCTGAGGCCCAGGAGGAGGGTCTGAGTGTGAGGGCTCCCGGGAGGCCCGGGAAAGTTGGAAGCCTACAGTCCAGGAGAGATGGGAGCAGCGACCGTGGGGACCACAGCTGAGGCGGGCAGTGTGGGTGGCAGCTGCCCGCCTCGCCAACTGAGCGGCTGCCTCCTGGCTCCATGCTGAGCACGTCCGCCTCCCGCTTGGCCTGGCCTCTCGCTGGCGGAAACCTCAGCATTCAGGCCAGCCGTGTCCAGGGCACCGTGTCAGGGCTGCATCTCAGAAGCCCTTGCTGAGCACAGGCCAGGCCTGTTGGGGTCCAGACATCCTCCTGGGCTGAGCAGACTGGTGGGAGAAGTGTTTGTGTAGACTGTCATTCGCTGCTGACTCCTTGCCCCAGCCCATCATGTCTGAAGAAGGAGGCTGGGTGGTCTGGGGCTGAGAGGGACCCAAGCCTCCAGGCTCCGTTGACCATCTGGTGCTCTCCAACTCTCAATGTCAGGCTAGTGAGCCCATCTTACAGGTGAGAACAGGAGTGTGTGGGGTCTTGCCCGAAGTCACCGTCACCCAAACCTAATCCATCTCTGTCCTAAGCCCTATAGGGTCTCCCAGCTCCAGATGTGGCAGGAGAGATGGCCCTCAGGAGAGTCTTAAACCTGGAAGGGGTGACATAGTGGGCTTCCCAGCCCCCAGAAGGAGAAGCCCCAACTCTTTCACGGCTTGTGGGTACCAATCACCACAGTCAACCCCCCAAGACCTGGTAGAAGGTTCCTGACTCTGAGATCCCAGGGAGGCCCTTGTCCCCAATTAGAACTCTGTGGAGAGCCAGAAAAGGGGGAAGCATGGGGGCAGGTAAAGCACTTTTATCTGTCAGGACAACCTGCCTGGAGGCTGAGAAGGGGGTAAACTGAGTCAGGAGAACCAGAGAAAATGAGGCCCAGGAGATGGGACAAGGCCAGGCAGCGGAGGTGCAGGGCGTGCGGGCAGGTCTGCCCCAGAGAAAATTGGTGTGTCTTCAAGCACTGGAAGACCCCTCAGGTGGGCCACCCCAGCCGCTTCCACGGGCTCCCATGCTCCCAGGTCCAGGGAAGCGGAGGTGCCATACTCGGCATGCTGTGGTGTCCCGTCTCTGTCCCGAATTCCCTGTAACGAGCAATCAGAGAAATGAATCCATGTCACCAGAAAAAGACAAAGAAATGGACACACGTTTGAAGGAAAGAAGCCGGGACTTCCCCTCGCACGTACATAGGATTGCCCACACGTGACTGCTCTGGGGCTACAGCCTCTGAGCTGAGCCACTGGCCTCCATTCTCCTTCCCGCCCCTGCTCCAAAGCAGAGAGGCCGGGCCTCTAAAGACACCTGGTGACGTCTCTCTGCTTACGTTTGTGGCCTCCATTATGCTGTTGCTTCTTATCTTTTTTTTTCTTTTTAAGTTTTTCTTTTCCTTTTAAGTTTTTGCCTTGGGGTGTATGTGCTCACCAAAGAGAGAGAGGAGGAGAGAAAGTGAGAAATCACCTCCTCCAGAGGTGAGAAGTCACCACACCACAGTCCCTTCTCCATTCTCCTCTCGGGATTCTGGGCACTTATGCACACACGCCTGGTGCCGTTTTCTAGCCTCTGGTCCAGGGCTCAAACGTACAGCAGCCTGGGCCTGTGGGACCCAGCCACCTTACCCACCACACCACTGGCTGGTGCCACTGTATTGTTTCAAAATGGGTAGAATGGGTGGACAGGGTGGCCTGCCCGGGGAACTTGGCCCTGGGGTGGGGTGTCCGCTCATCCTGCTGACTCACCTGCCTCCTCTCCTTTCTCTGCAGCACAGGCTGCCATGGGTTCCGTTGGGAGCCAGCGTCTGAAGGAGCCCAGCGTGGTGGGCACACCAGACAGGAGCGTGGTGATGAGCTTCAGCTTCGACAGCTGCCAACTGGAGGAGGCGGTGGCAGCGGCAGAGGCAGCTCAGGGCCAGGGTGTTAGAGCCAGGGGTGTCCCGACCTTCGTGGACTCCGGTGAGTGAGGAGTGGGCAATGAATGCGTTTGCCCCAAAGCAGATTGGCCAGGTGACCCCTGGTGGAGATCTCAGGTATCAGGGAGCCTCAGGCTGTCAGGGGCAGCGGAGGGCAGCAGTACCCCTCCGGCTGGCTGAGGTGAGCGCAGTGATAAGCATGTGCAGGCTGGGGCCTCTGCCCTGTACTGCGTGTCCCAGCAGATCATAGGGGCTCCACCCATGGATCCGGGCTGAGGAGGCTCTATCCTAACACGTGCTACTATGCTTCGTGGACAGGGGAAGAGGAACGTGGAAATCATGAACCAGCCCATGAAACCTTTGATTTTGTTTTAATGCTGAAGGGTGCATGCGCAAGTGCATGCAAAAGAGAGAAAAGGCACCCCGTGGCCAATGCGTTTTCCTCCAGTTCTCCATCCCAGCAAGATCCCAGGCACATGCTTGTACACCAGCGTGTTTTTCAAGCTGCTGAAGCTGGGACTCAAACCCAGATTGTCCACGTGGAATCCGGCTTCCTCTGCTAAGCACTTAACGGCTGCACTCTGGAGCAGGCCCTAACCCATACAGCTTCTATCTGGAAGTGACATACGTCACTTTGATCACATTCATTGGCCAACCCAAGCCATGCCGAGTTGTAAGAGTTGGAAAAGTGCCCTAACTTAGGGTTGGATGTGAGGTTCAAAGACCTGGTTTTTGACTCAGCTGTGTGACCTGGGACAAGGACCTACCCCTCTCTCAGCCTCAGTTGTCCCATACTGAGGAGGCGGGACACTAACTGTAAGACCAGACTTGCAGAGAAGGTTGGGGTCAACCCTACTATCTTTTGCCCATTTGAGGGCCTTGGACAGATCATAGTTCTTTTTCGGCCCTCAGTTTGTTCATCTGGAAGAGAGGAGCAAACCTTAATGTGGTTGCAACAGAATCCGTGAAACATTGCTTAGGGCTGTCTCCAGCACTCAGGAGGCCCCCCGTCTTGGTAGCTCTGTTTCGGTAGCCATTGCTTATACAAGCACCACTGCAAGTTCCCACAGGTGCCGTCCTCTCTGTCTTCAGACAGGCAGTGCAGACTGTCCTGGCCAAGCCCTGGGCTGAGTTGGAGTAACCTCCCTGTTCCCGTGTGCATGGCCAGCACCCAGGGTATGGCAGTAGACACTGTGGGGCAGTGACCATGGCAGCCATGGCCATAAAAGGGGGTGGTGGTCGTCGTGGTGCCTTAACTGTGATGGCCATGGTGGTGGTGGCTGGATCAATCAAGGTTCAGCCAGAGAAGCAGAGCCAGTGGGAAACGGATGGACAGACAGACAGAAATAGACGGGGAGTTACAGCTATGAGGTAGATCTATGCGTGTGCACAGAGCTTTGTTACGAGAAACTGGCTTACTAAAGTGGGGGCTGGCTGGGGCAGTCCCACTCTGTAAAGCAGACAGTGAAGAAGAAGCTCATGAATAGGCCAGAACCCCCCACAGTTCTGTCAAGCCAGCTGCTCGGTGGCCGTGGTGGTGGAGGACGTAGTGGCAGTGGCCAGGGTGACATGGACAGGGTGCGTGACAGTGCTCATGGTGGAGGGCGCTCTGGGAGCAGTGGCCATGGTGTCCGGGGACTTCCTGTCATGGCGTGGAGGCAGTGGCGCGGGCAGCTGTGGCTTGAGTGATGGACAGTGGCTGGCGCACTCCTCACCTGGGGTCTCTGGGTGTAGCGGAGGAGGAGCCCGTGCCCGACGACCGCTACCACGCAGTCTACTTTGCGATGCTGCTGGCTGGCGTGGGCTTCCTGCTGCCGTACAACAGCTTCATCACCGACGTGGACTACCTGCATCACAAGTACCCAGGTGGGTGCTCCCCGCCGTCACGTCCGGCTGCTGCAGGCTGCTCCCAAACCCCGCGGGCAGGCCCTGCTCGGGCGCCTGTTTTACTGAAATCCTGGCTCGGCCGTGGGTTGTGGAGTGACCTCTGCCAGCTACCCCCCACCGCCCACCGTTAGCCCCTTTTGGGGAGGGGGAGGAAGCAGTAGCCACTGGAATATGTGGAGGGTTGGCCCCCCTCGAACACCTGCCGTTGCCCGCCCCCTCCGCAGGGACCTCTATTGTGTTCGACATGAGCCTCACCTACATCTTGGTGGCACTGGTGGCTGTGCTCCTGAACAACGTCCTGGTGGAGAGGCTGGACCTGCACACCAGGATCACTGCAGGTACACCGGCCACCCCCGCCGCAGCACGCCTGTCCCCGTGGCCCCCGCCGCAGCACGCCTGTCCCTGTGGCCCCAGCCCACCCCTCGTCTGCCCACTACCCGAGCCCCACTCTCCCCGGCTATAAAATGGGAGTGCCGTGGGGTCCATATGAGAAGAGTTGGGAGTGGCCATGGTGCGTCCGCCACAAGCCAGTATGATAGCTGGTGCCTTTGGGAGCTTTTGTACCCCACATCATGTCCCTGCACCCCCACCTGAGCTCATGCCTTGACCCACTGTGTTCTTCCCTTCTTTTTTTTTCGAGAGGTTTTTGCTATAGGGCGCGGGCGCTCGCCAGACAGAGAGAGACACAGAGACAGAAAGTGAGAAATCACCCTCCCCGGGGGGATGGCCACGTCACAATCCCTTCTCCTCCATTCTCCTCTCGGGATCTTGGGCACGCACACACACGCGCCCGGCGTGCGTTTAAGCCACCAGGTCCAGGACTTGAACTGCAGTAAGCTACAAAGGAGTCCAGCAACATAGCCATTATGCCAACTGCTGGTCCCTGTTCTTCCCTTCTCATTCCTCTTTATGATGACATCCAGCTCCAAAGGCCAGCTCAAGTGGTGCTTCCTCCAGGAAGCCTTCCAGGGTGCCCCTCTCGGACCACTAAGGCACCGTTGCCTCCCAGTACTAAGCTGGAAAGGCAGAGAGAATGCTTCAGACCTGATCCTATAGGAGGGACAGGGATGCAGGGGGGCCCTGCCCAGTCACGCACTGCTCCCCTCACTGACTTCTCCTCCATAGGCTACCTCTTAGCCTTGGGCCCCCTCCTCTTCATCAGCATCTGTGACGTGTGGCTGCAGCTCTTCTCTCGTGACCAGGCTTATGCCATCAACCTGGCCGCCGTGGGCACCGTGGCCTTTGGCTGTACAGGTAGGGCCTGGGGCCAAGGGCAGGTGGGTCTGGGGCTCAGGCAGAGCCCCTGAGTGCTGACTGTGGGCTTGTCCCTCCCCAGCCCCATTCTGGGGGCGCTGTGCTACCACGTGCTCACTAGTGTGCACGCCCTCACCCGTGCACACGCTGCTGCCTCCCTGCACATGCTCACGAGCACACGCAGTCCCAGAGGGCACACCCCAGGCTCCCAGCCCGAGGGGCCCTGCGGATATGGAGGCAGCCCTTGGTTTGCACCAATGTAAACTGGACTTCAAGGGCTGTCCTGCCTGCGTCACTATGTCACTGTGTCACTGTGTTGCTGTTTCTCTTCATGATAGCTTTTTTTTTTTTTTTTTTTTTTGCTATAAGGCAAGTGTGCTCATCAGAGAGAGGGGGAGAGAGAGAGAGAAAGGGAAAGTGAGAAATCGCCCCCCAGTGGGGATGGCCACACTGTAGTTCCTTCTCCTTCAGTCTCCTCTTGGGATTTTGGGCATGCCTAGTATTCCAGGTTTAGGACTCGAACCATGTCCTTAATCATGTGAGATCCAGTTGCGTTAACCACCACACCACCGGTTGGCCCCACAATGGCTTTTAAACTTTTTTTTTTTAACATTTTATTTTGAAAAAAATCTTGTACCTATAGAAACATTGCAAGAATAATACAACAGGCCTCTCTTATGTACGGTTTTGTTTTCTGCAGTCTCAGTACGCACAGTGTGATGTTTGTAGGTGAAACCAAGACTGCATCTCTAAACTCAACTTTGGCAGTGCACCCAGATCTACTCTTCTGCTTTGTTAAGAAAACAGTGCGGGGAGCCGGCAGGTGGTGTGGTAGTTAAGAGCGCTGGACTCCACATGCCCAACCATGGTTCGAGTCCCGGATCTGGCAGTTTGCTTTCTCACTTTCTCTCTCTCTGTGTCCTTCTCCAGTCAAAATAAATAAATAAATAAAGTTAAATAAAATAATTTTTTTTTAAAAAAAGAAAACAATTCTGATGTCAACCAAGCCCTGCTCCAGCGTCTATACCTAGGCTTACTAGATTCCAGAGTAGAAGCCAGTGCTTTTTTTTTTTTATTGTTTGTTTTTGTTTATTATTTCTTCCATAAGCAAGAGAGAGAGTCAGCACCCAACTGGGTCTTGATACCACCACCCACCCCTAGCTTCACCCCAAATCATGGGCATGCATGCCCAGGGTGTTCAGGGAAGCCTCTGGACATGAGCCAGTAACTTTCTCATGTCTGTCAGCCTCGCAGAGAGTCACGTTTTCCTGCTGCACCACCCTCCAGCTCCCAGCCAGTGCATTTTTACTCTCCCTAGATCCTGCTGGATTTGTCTGTACTGGTTAGGATGAGAGAGGTTATGCTGTAGTAACAAATTAGCCCGGAAATCTCAGTGGCTTCGTAGAATAAGACATAGTTCTTGCTCTTGTTGCATGTCCAACCCATATCCATGGGAGGGGGGGGGTTATTTCACACAGCGTCTCAGGGATTCATGAGAGTGCCCCCTTTCCCCTGGGACACATGACCTCTCTGTCACTGCTGGTGGGAGAATGATAGGCTGAGGCTCCATGTGTGCTTTCCGCTGCCTCACTTAGAAGTGACACATGGCATCTCTGCTCACGTTTCCGTGGCCAAAGCTCACCAATGACCCTGAGTAGTCCCGGGCCGGGGAGGTGAAAGGCAGTGTGTGTGCTGTCTGGTGGGTGGTCCTCTTTCCACCACATGCTGCAGGATGGTCATGCCAAAGCTCTGCCATGGTGCTGTTAGCGTCCCTGTGTGCGCCCACACCCGCCAGTGCAGGACTCACGCTTGTGCATTTTCCCCAAGCTGACAGGTGATAAGTGGTATCTTGGTTGTCTTCTCCCTCTCTCTCTCTTAAGTGCAGCAATCCAGCTTCTATGGGTACACAGGGATGCTGCCCAAGAGGTACACGCAGGGCGTGATGACTGGGGAGAGTGAGTATCTGCAGACCCCTAGGACGGGGCCACCGGGCTACATGGCTCTTCTTCCTGAAGACGCTGCTCAGTGCCCCTGGACTGGGAGAAGGGCTCATGGGTTCTGGGCACGCTGGGCTGGGGTTGGTGACGGCCATGTCTTCTCACCTGCCTGGGGGGTGGGGATGGGACAGACTCCCAGACACAAGGGACACGCTGTGTACTGCTTCTGGGGTGTGAGAAGCACGGGCCTCTCTGAGCATGTGACGGTGTTTAGTGCCCGTGAGCCTGTGCGTGGTGTGCGTTTTGTGTGTCTGCATGTGCACTGGGAGGGGTGAGCCCATCCATTCCCATGACATCACACCTTCAGCACAGAGCTCTCCTCACAGTCCCTGACCCATAAGCCACCTCTGCGGGGCACTTATGCTTGGGTATCTCATGGGCTTCTCAAACCCACCTGTCCTGAACCCACCTCACCACCTCCCACCCACCTCGTCTCAGGAAACAGCACAAGCCCCCAAACCCAGACTTTCCCAAGTCCCCCCAGGCTGATTCCTCATCTGTCCCTTTCCCTCTGGCCCCTGGTTCCGACAGCTGCCACCCCTGCTCTGCAGAGCGACAGCCTGACCCTCAGGGCATGCTTCAGTGCCCCAAGTTTGAAATGTCCTCTTCCAGCTGTTCTCAGTCTTCCTCCCATGTCTGGCTGTGCAGTGGGCAGTGCCATCCATGCGGGGAGCTGGGCGCGAGCCAGGGGCCATGTGGGTTCTCCATTTCTTCCCTTTGGGGGCATTCTGCAACCCTGTACCTCATAAGGTCGATAGGACGCCCCCCGGAGCTCCAGAACACACCAGTGGGATCCTGGTTCCGGGAAGGCAGCCAGGCAAAGCAACCACTATTACTGGCCAGGAGGTTTTGGTGGGGATGAGCAAGACGGGGCTGCCAGGTGCTGACACGCAGGCCTGGCTACCGTCGACGAGGGCCCCTCTGAAAAGATTTGCTCAGAGCCCCGCCTTTAGCCCCAGTGGCCAGGACCTTCCGTGCCTAATTCTGTGCAGTGGCTCACCGTCTCACACCCTGCCCCTGCCTGCCCTCCCTGGAGACCTGCTGACCTTGGTGGTGGGGTTCCAGCCCATCTGCTTCCTTTCTACTTGAACACACCGACCGCCAGAGATCACACCAGCCCCTGCCAGGAACGCTCTCCTCCAGGCTTGTCACTTGGCCCCCTCATTCTGCACACCTCGGTTTAAATGTCCCTTCTCAAAGGGCGTTCCCTCACCACCCCGTCCCACCTGCTCTCCTGCCAGAGTCCTGGTCCGTTTCCTTCGGCCCCACGCCTGCATCTCACAGCTGGTGTGTTTCTGTCACTTGGATGTGTCTTCTTCCCAAGGCCGGGAGGCAGGGCTATATGTCATCCCCACTGTGTCCTCAGGACAGGATGGTGGCAGTACAGACAGGCGCTGGGTAAATGCCCCGTGGGGTGCATGTGGAGCAGGCAGCAGTGCCGGCGGGGCAGGGATGAGTGTGTGCAGGCCCTGACCCAGGCCCATCGTCGCCCCCACTGTCCAGGCACCGCAGGGGTCATGATCTCCCTGAGCCGCATCCTCACCAAGCTGCTGCTGCCGGACGAACGTGCCAGCACGCTCATCTTCTTCCTGGTCTCCGTGGGCCTGGAGCTGCTGTGCTTCCTGCTGCACCTGCTGGTGCGGCGCAGCCGCTTTGTGCTCTACTACACCACACGGCCCCGCGACAGCCGCCGGGGCTGCAGGGCGGGCCTGGGCTACCGCGTGCACCACGACGTCGCTGCTGGGGACATCCACTTCGTAAGTGCAGCCTCCCGTGGCACCGGGGATGCCCTGCCGGCTGCCCCAGATCCCTGCTCTGTTCTAGTCAGAGATCGCCTGGTATGTCACCCTCGCCATCCTGGTGGAGTTCCCCCACTACGGCCCCTGCCGGCACCCACGCGCTCAGGTTCCAGCTTGCTTCTGTGGTCCGAGGCTCCCTCCAGGCCCTATCTCCCATGATATGGCCTCCTGTCTGCTGTGACACCCACACCCTGTAAATTTCTGTCTGTGACCATCCACACTCTGGGACAGCCAGCGTAGGGATCCCTCCCGCGCACTGAGCCAGACAATGACTGCAGCTCCCACTCTCCCATTCTAACCTAGAGACACGCAGGCTCAGGGATACCCCGAGTTCCAGCAGGGTCAGGGGAGAGGAGCCAAAGGGGCACACCAGGACCCCCAAAACTGCCACAGTACAGGACGTCAGAGCCCGCTGGGAAACAGGGTGGGCTCCCAAGTGGGAGCAGAAGGAAGCCAGGCAGAGGGCAGGCTCTGTTCTGTGCCCTGTGCCAGGCATCCGACCCTGGCATCACAGCACGTAGGCGCTCCCCTGTGGGTCCCCAGCCCAGGGGCGGCCCTGGTACCACTGGCTCCAAGGGCAGAGGCGGCCCTCCTGGGGGGCTGGGGCGCCCTCTGGTGGCAGCAGTGCCACATAGCCCCGGGGTCCTGGGCTTCTCGGTGTGGAGGCCCGAGGATGCCTACCTGATGAGGTCCTGTGTGCCAGGTCTCATGGGGGGAGGCAGGGTGGTCCTTGTTCCCAAGGGCGCTCAGGCCCCTCAGTGTGCTCCCCAGCAAAGTGGAGCCAGGATGGTTGCCTGGGCCCTCGCCCCGCGGAGCACACAGACCCAGAGATGGGCCCATGGTGGGAAAGGACAGGTCTGGGGGGGACACAGGCCTCCTCATGGTCAAGAATTTCCTGAGGATGGGCTTCTGGGCCAAGCCTTGACCCACTGGAAGTGGGACATTGAGGACCAGGGCAGGCGTTGGGCAAAGGCTTGGAGCCTGATTGCAGGACGCAGGGAGTGGGATGGCGGGAGGTCTAAGAGGCCCCTGAACAAGGGGGTGGGATGCTCTGCTAGGCTTGGTCAAAACCTGGCTGAGGGCTCACAGAGGTGACATGGGGCTGTCCGAGACCTTGGGAACGTGAGGGAGGGAGGTGTCTGCCCAGTGGGCGGTGACTGTCACCCGAGCACCGCCCCTCCTCCCATGGGGCAGTGCCTGGCCTGCACCTCCCACCCGTCCCTTCCACCCAAATCCCCTCCTGCTCCACCCACTCTGCAGGAGCACCAAGGCCCAGCCCTGGCCAACAGCGGGTCCCCGAAGGACAGCCCGGCCCATGAGGTGACCGGCAGCAGTGGGGGAGCCTACATGCGCTTTGACGTGCCTCGGCCCAGAGTCAAGAGGAGCTGGCCCACGTTCCGAGGTGAGAGGAGCCCCCTTTGTCCTGTGGGCCCCCGTTGTGCCATTTGCAAGCATGGAGAGATTCCTTGGGCTGAAGGTGGGCAGGGACCCGTGGCGCTGCCCTCTGACCCCGCCCGCCCGCAGCCCTGCTGCTGCATCGGTACGTGGTGGCGCGGGTCATCTGGGCCGACATGCTGTCCATCGCTGTGACCTACTTCATCACGCTGTGCCTGTTCCCTGGCCTCGAGTCCGAGATCCGCCACTGCATCCTGGGCGAGTGGCTCCCCATCCTCATCATGGCCGTGTTCAACCTCTCGGACTTCGTGGGCAAGGTGGGCCACCCGTGTCCTGGCCCCTGGGGAGGGATGCCGTATGAAGGGGATGGGAGACTACCAGGACTTCCCAGCCATGGGGAGACCCTGGCCCATCCAGGGAGGGTCCCTGGGCTAAGGATTTGCATGGCTTCCAGTAACGGTGGCAGCCAAGGAATGTCACTGTCCCAGTCAATGTCCCTTGGAGGGTGGCCCCTGCCTGATCCCACACGGGAGCTCAGCAGTGTCAGCTTCGTCCCCGGGGCTGAGCTCAGCTCTTGAACTCCTGCCCCAATCATGAGTTGGGAGGTCTCTGGGGTAGTCCTTGGAAGGCAAGCACAGGTGTGGGCCAGGCATGTAGAGGACAGGGCAGCGCCACCAGAAACGACTCAAAGGGACCAGAAGGGCCTGGAGGCCACATCAGCTGCTAGTACAGGGCTGTCACGGCTAGAGCAGATTCAGAACTGCTGTTTATGGTGCTCTGGGCAGGCTGGAATGCCCCTTCTCTTAACGAGTGGAGAGTAAGCGTGAGGTCCAGAGAGGGCGAGCTATTTGCCGAGGGTCACACCGCTGAGCGGTCTGAGTAACAGGTCTATGCTTTGAGTCAGAGCAGGGCTTAGTTAGTGGGTTGAAATCCTGTTCCTAATCCCAGCTGTGGATTGATGCAGGTGGCCTGAACCTCCGAGCCTTAATGTCCTCATTTCTCAAATAGGGTTAAGGGTCCCACCTCCAAAGAGTACCGGAGGATGGAGTGGGGAATGTGCAGTGAGGTCAGTGTGGGGCCCATGGCGAGGACCACACGTTACTGTGAGAGTGGGTCTGGGGGATTCTGGAGAGCCACTGAGCTGGACAGAGGTGGGGAGGTGTGGGGATGGGGTATGCGGGGAGGGGCTCGGGGAGGGCGGGCAGCCTCGTACATACCTGGCTCCCTGCAGATCTTGGCAGCCCAGACCTGGCTCCATCCAGATTTTGGCAGGCGTGCCGGTGGACTGGCGGGGCACCCACCTGCTGGCCTTCTCCTGCCTGCGCGTGGTCTTCATCCCCCTCTTCATCCTGTGCGTCTACCCCAGCGGCACGCCCGCCCTCCGCCACCCAGCCTGGCCCTGCATCTTCTCCCTGCTCATGGGCATCAGCAACGGCTACTTCGGCAGCGTGCCCATGATCCTGGCTGCCGGCAAAGTGAGCCCCAAGCAGCGGGAGCTGGCAGGTAAGGCCCCACTCGGCCGGTGCCCAGCTTGCCCTGGGACGGTCCTCCCTGCAGCCTGACACCCCCGGCAAGGACGCCAAGGCCAGGAGTGAAGGTGCATGTGGGTGCAGGGGTCCAGTCGAGGTCAGGGAGGTCGTAGGTGTAGGGATGTTCTTCATCCATCCATTCGTTCATTCCACTACTCGGCAAGCCCCTATGTGCCAGGCGCTGTTCTAGGCACTGGGGACACGGTGGTGACAACTCCGTGCTCCCTGCACTTGTGGTGCTGACAGTCCAGAGGCATTCAATAAACACACCAGTAACAACCAGGTGTCATGTGTTGGCTGGCGTCAAGTACTGCGGAGAAAAACAAAGCAGGAGAAAGGGAAGAAATGGGCGAGTCGAGTTGTGGGGGTGATGGCAACGGAAACAGCGATCTGGGAAGGCTTCATTGAGGAGGTGACTTTTGGGCAAAGACATGGAGGAAGTTGTGAGGGAGCCAGCCACATGAAGATGCAAAGGCCCAACATCGAGGCAGGGGGAGCAGCGTGTGCAGAGGCCCCGAGGCAGGAGCAGCCACGTGGGCCCTGGGCTATGGGGTGAGGGGGCAGGAAAGGGTGCTTTGAGGATGAAGGCAGAGGGATGAACAATGACTGTTCCTGAAGGCCTCCCACAGGAGCCAGGCAGGGAGGTGAGTGAGGCGCTCCTGTAACCGTCCAGGCCCTCCAGGGTGGGCTCAGACCTGGTGCAGGCCCACGGAGCTGGGAGAAGGTGCTGGATTCCAGACCCGTTTTGACAGTAGAACTCCCAGGGAGACTGGGAGGGGTGTGAGAGAGAGAAGGGGAGTCCAAGGGGACTTGGGGTTGGGGTCTGTAGCTCAAGGAAGGAGGGTTGGCTCTACCATCGACTGAGATGGGGAGGGGCGTCGGCGTGGACTCGGGATGTGCGAGATGCCCATTAGCCGTCGTTGGAGACTGGAGATAAAGCTAGGGTCGGGGGTCAGAGCAGGTGAGGCCGAGGTGGCCCGGAGGATCGCCAGAGCAGCAATTCCAAGAGAAGCGAGGGGAAGCCACGTGGGCACCGCCTGGCAGTGGTCACTGCACTTCACACCAGACTAGCTGTGGCCAAGGCAGGTCCCGCAGGTGCCCGCCCCTCCCCCACCTCAGGCCAGTCTCATCCGCAGGGAACACCATGACTGTGTCCTACATGTCGGGGCTGACGCTGGGCTCCGCCGTGGCCTACTTCACCTACAGCCTCACCCGGGACACGCACAGCCGCTGCCTCCACGCCTCCACCACCAACGGATCCACCACCGCTGGCCTCTGAGCCACTGGCTCTGCCCTGCCCACCACAGGGGAGGCTAGGCAGGGCCCAAGGCCTGAGGCCCCCTCCCCGCCCCTGCCTGCAGTGCCTGCGGGGCCCCAGCCTCCTCCTGTGCCAATAATGCCACCCTCTCCAGGTCCAGCCACTCCAACCTGGAGTCCTCGGCCTAGGGCATGTCTGCACCCAGGGCCCTGCCCAGCACTGTGCTCTGCGCCTCGCACCCGCCCTCCAGCTCCACCTGTATCCTGCGGCCCCAGCTCTAGCCAGGCCAGTGCTCTGTAGGGTCAGCCTCAGTCCCCACCAGGGATTGCAGACCGCCAGCCCGGGCAGCCCCTCCCAGTGACCCTACCCCAGGTCTGCTTTGGGCTTCATGGCCCTCATCACACAGTTCATCAGGGTATGGCCCCTCCTCACTGGGACCCTCATGAGCAGAAGGGGCCCCGCTCTGTCACCTAGGGCCTCCCCTCCACCCGGTCCTTAAACACTGGTTTCCCAAACAAAACACACTTGCTGTACCGGAATTGTAGCCTGGGGTCTGCCCCAGACTCAGTGCCCAGCAGTAGCCCTGGCCTGGGCACACATACCCCCATGCACTCCACACAGGCCAGGCACTGTGCCTGACTGGGGAACCCAGCCACTGGGGTCCCCCTAGCTCATGGAGGGGAGATACACACTGGTTGAAGGTGGCTGTTGGCCTAGGCCTTAATCCGTGTCCAGCGTGGCTCAGGGGCAGGTGTAACTTGCCTGAGTCCATGCCAAGTAAGGAGGCGCTGGGCGGTCACTCCAGACTGGACACTCCAGAACGCCAGGCTGGCTGGGTGGGCACCCTGAGGTGGGGGGATTCCGGGAATGTCCTGCCATAGATGGCTTTGCCATGGGGAGGACAGCCTGCCCTTCTGCACCCCTGCTGTGTCCCGTCCACCCGTCTGTCCACTAACTACCGCACTGGCCATTAAAAGAAGGCAGAGAGACTGCCCCACTGCTGCTGCCCGAGGAGCATTTGTGTGGGTGGGACTGTGATGGCCACCGGCAGTAGGAGAGGCCCTGGTGGGTCAAGGCCTAGCCCATATTAGCTGGGAACCCACTAGTTCCCCAGGCCTGGCATTTTGTGAGGTGGGCCAGGTAACAGGAGGGCCCACACACACACCAGGTGGGCCCAAGCAGTGGGGCGGGCTTTGTAGAGTGCCTTAGTGCCCTGGGGCCATGAGTGTCAGGGGAAATGAATGCACCCGCCCACTTGAAAGGGAGGAAAACAAACTCAGAGGGGAGGTAGCTTGGTTCCTGCCCCTCGACTCTTGCTGATTTGGGCACGTCCAGCCCTGTCCCATGCCTTCGTTTCCCCAAGGAGTGGGACTGGTCCACTGTAATGTGCCTGTGATCCAGGTCTGCAGCCCAGGGACCCACAGACAGGGACCCAGCTGGGCAGCCACGTGGGCCTGAATGTGCCAGTTGGTGCCAGAGATGGCCGCCAGGTGGCACCTGTGTACCACTCTTCCTGCTCCTCTATGTAGCCCCTCTCCATTCCCCACTCACCACGTGGCTGCTCTTTCCCCTGGCCAAGGGAGGACCTGGCGCTGGGCGGGCAGGCTGAGTCTTTCTCTCAGCCAGAGGCTGCACCGGCTGCATCCCACGTGCTAATGCATGGAATTGCTAAGTCCTCTCCCCCCACGACTCCAAAACAGCAAAGCCCAGGTGGCCACCTGCATCCTGTCCATACTGACCCACACACGTGGTACAGCCAGTCCCACACCTTCAGCTGCCCCAGGCCCCACAGGTCAGGGGCCAGAACTGCGCCCCACACCCCATGCAGGGGCTCTGCTCCATGCCCATCTAGGCAGGGGCTCAGGGCCACTCGGATCAGCAGCTGCATCTCTGTGGGTGTGGCTGGGAACCCAGCTCAGTTCTGCATGTTGTGTTTGCTTTATGAAAATGTATTTCCAGGGGCAAGCAGGTGGCGTAGTGGTTAAGGTGCTGGACTACCACATGATTGACCATGGTTCAAGTCTTGGATCCAGGAGCTTGAAATTCACGCCAGACATGTGCATGCGTGTGTGTGTAGTCGCGCCTGAGATCTGGAGAGAATTGAGAATGGACTGCAGTGTGGCCTGGGGGTAATTTCTTGCTTTCTTTCTGTCTCTGTCTCTCTGGCAAGCACACATGCCCTATAGCAAAAATCGGACTCCTATGTAGTCAACCACAGTTTGAATCCTGACCTGGTGGCTTAAAACTCATGCTGGGCGCATGTGCGTGGATGCCGAGATCCCAAGAGAATGGAGAAGGGATTTCTCACTTTCTCTCTTGCAAGCACATGTGCCCTATAGCAAAAATCTCTCCCCCCCAAAAAATGTGTATTTCCTGGACCAGCAGATGGCATAATGGTTACATCGCTGGACTTACACATAGTCAACCACGGTACAAGTCCCATACCCATCAGCTTAAAACACATAGGACACGTGCGTGCATGCGTGTGTGTGTGTGTGTGTGTGTGTGTATGCCCAAAACTCTGAGAAGAGAATGGAGAAGGGACTGTGGCATAGCCATCCCCCCAGGGGGGAAGGGTGATTTCTTGCTTTCTGTCCCTGTCACTCTTAAAAACGATTTTTGCTATAGGGGGCGTGTGTTCACCAGAGACAGATATGAGAAATCATCCCCCACCCCAGGGGTGGATAGTCACACCGCACTCCCTTTTCCTCCATTCTCTCAAGATTTTGGGCACACACACGTATGCAGCCTGGGTGTTTTAAGCCGCCGGGTTCGGGACTCGAACCACAATTGACTATGTAGGAGTCCAGTGATATAACCATTACACCAAATGCTGGTCCCCAAAAATCTCTCTTAAAAAAAAAAAAAAAAAAAAAA